AATACGTGTTTTAAAATAAATTATTTCCAAAGGAGTATTTGTAAATATTTTTTAAATCTAACAATATTTAAAATCTTAATGAATCCATTTGTTATTGAATCGTAGTTTATTCTTCATATTATATATTGTTCGCATGTTCTTATATTGTTTATTCTACATTTACTATTTTGCATGAGCCAAGTATTTATAGAAAAATGTAATTTTCATAACAAAAATAATTGAATTAAAATTTTTGAGTTCTCATCAGTCATATATTCTGCTTGATGCCTGCGACCGTTCCCACCCATCGGCACACCACTAGATAGAATCGATTGTTTCCAGGAAATTTTATCATCGCAAGCATAGATAAAGGAGCAGCATATCATTACTAAGTGTAGTGGTAATGCACTCTTTATCATCGCAGATCATAACTAGCTTTTTAAAAGCAAAAGTAGAGATTAAATATTTTTAAGCTCAAATTAAAGATTATTTCCGTAAATAGTAACAAAGTGGAATTTATTTTTCTTTCATAATAATAATAAAATTAATTATATAGAAAAAAAATTGATTCTACATGTACAAGGTGCATCCAGAAAGTAAGTTTCTATATTTTTTTTAAAAAAAAAACTCATACTTTCAGGAACATATTTATTGGATTCAAATACAGCAATGTTTCAACTATTTTTTAACGTAGCCACCACCAGAATTGAGACACTTGTCGTATCGTGGGATCAATTTTTGTATCCCTCTGTCGTTGAACTCTGCCGCCTGTGAATGGAACCTGCGTGTGACAGACGTCTTCAGCTCTTCGTCGTTGCCAAGACGCTCACCGGAGGACAGGAATTTCTTGAGGAGCAAGAAAACGGGAAAATCGCTGGGAGCAAGATCAGGGGGGATGATCAAACATCTCCGAGCCAAATTTCGTCAAGCCAGCTGCTGTGCGCCGAGCCGTATGTGGACGAGCATTGTAATGGAGGAGCACAACACCTGCATTAAGCATTCCACGCCTCTTGTTTTGAATGGCACGTCGTTCCGCAGTGTTTCACAGTAACGGTCAGCGTTTACTGTTTCACTACGTGGTTCATTCACAGGAGGCAGAGTTCTACGACAGAGGGATGCAAAAGTTGGTCCCACGATACGACAAGTGTCTCAATTCTGGTGGTGGCTACGTTAAAAAATAGTTGAAACATTGCTGTATTTGAATCCAATAAATATGTTCCTGAAAGTATGAGTTCTTTTTTTTTTTAAAAAAAATAGGGAAACTTACTTTCTGAATGAGCTTCGTATGTAACAATAATAAAGGTGTCAAACCATGATATTTCTTTGTTTCTGATGAGTTATTTTTTCTTATTTAAACATTTTTAAACATTGGCAATAAAACAAAATTCAGATTCAATTAATGTTTAACTTTTTATTAATTTTTTACATATTAAATTCATTCAAAGAAATATAGGTAGGTATCAATATTTATATGGCTAAAGCTCAGTAATTTGCAACGCAACATTATTTAAAATATAGATCTACTATCAGCTTTTCATTGTGTAACCTATTTCTATTCTGTTATCTACCACTTATTATGCTTTAAATCTCTGTATAAATGACAATAAGGCACTTTTAACGACTTACAGAGAGTGTAAATTTGACTAGCGAGTAAGCTGTGTGAAAACTTTTTAATATACAAATTCAAATACAAATGCGCAATTTAAAAGTTTAAATTGTTTCGTAAATAGTAACAGAAGGGAAATATTTTTATGTTGATAAAAATAATAACATAGAAAATATAATTGATTCTATACATGGTTTTAACTACAATGTGAGTACTAAAACTGAGATGTTTTCTGTTTCAGATTACTTGTTTTTTTATTTGAACTTTTTTGAGTATTGGTAATAGAAGGAAAAATAATCCAGGTTCAAGTTTTTTATTTACTTAATGCTCTAAGCCAAAACGTGCGTTGTTGTTTTTAGTTTTCTGTACAAGAAACATTACAATTGCAGCTAAAATTTTCTCAAGTAGTAATTACAATATTTTTAAATTTTTAAAAATATTTTTCAAATGTCTCCCCATTTTGAAAATGACTCCTATTCACATGTTGCCTACTGATCAGAATGAGTCCGAAAGTTTTGATTAAATAGAAAATCGTTGCAGTTATGTTTACACTGGAGCAAAAGTAAGTATTGGCTCATATGCGTCATTGGACAATTTGGGTAAAGATTCAAGAAGTGTAAAAGTTTAATGAATAAGTACCAACTTGAGTAAAGTTTTAAGTGTAAAATTAAAGTTTTTTAAACATTAAAAGGTGGGAACCCCTATATTTTGTATTTCTGGTTATTCGCCCCTTCTATCTTTACGATAACCAGGTCCGTCTACATCTAACAAAATTTTTTTTTTTTATAATTTCATACTGAAGAACTAAAATGGGCGGGGCAATAATAGAACTCAACAAGGATTTTGGAAATTATAAAAAAAAGGAAACTGACTCGACAAATAAACCAATGGGTAGAATACTTTTAATTTCTCTTCAATTCTTTTCGAAATAAACATTCTCATATCGAAATAAACATTCTCATATTTCGAAATAAACATTCTCATATTAGTTCAAATGAAACAGTATGGCTCTAGCTTTGATGTAAGAGGGGAAAAAATGGGTAAAATTGCACAAGTCAAAACCTTTTCATAACTCAGAAACTTTTCTAATAAAAAAGTAATATTAAGATTCACAGAAAATAATAGAAATTTCTCGAGGTCAAAACTGAGACATACTTAGAAAGATTGTGAACAAAACTTTCTGCTCATACAATTTGTGTCAGAAGATCTTTATGACGTTATTTGGATTAACAATAATAGTTTAAATAATAGTGTCATTTTAGAAATAGCAGCATTATCTAGCACTGTTAGGGTAAAAAATGTATTTTATTAAGTGATCTGAAAGATCAAAATGAAATTTCCGTAAATTAATACTTGCTTTATTACTATTTTATAATTATTTTTGGTGAACAATACCTCTTCTTTATCTATGCTAGAAATGTTCTTGCTGAATAAATAGCTTAATTAATTAATTTTTGTTTCACATCACAAAATTGTGAGAGTCAAGATTTGGCACTTTCATAACTGTGATTCTCGAAAATAATAACTAATGGAACCACCATTTTTATAATCATTTGTGGCTATTCAATATCACGATACTGCATTTAAGTTCTATTGCAAATTATCTTTTTAAATTTGCATTTAGCACATAGAATTTTTATTTTTATTTTCAGATTCTCTATTGGTGAAAGACTAATTTTAATAGTCATATTAGTAATTCTTGAAAATTATATCTAATATTAATGATAGCAGTAATATTTTTATAATCATTTTTAGAGACCAAATATCACGGTACATAAGGTGTCTTAAAGCCCTGTTACATATTCTCTCGCTAAATATGCATTTAGTTTATAATTCCTTTATTATTCGTTACCATTTTACTGCAAAATAAAATTTTTATTTCGTGTCAAGTTGTTTTCGAAAATTAGTTTCATATTTAATGACTCAAAGAAAAAATCATTTAAATTACAAATTATTCTATTGCCATTTATTTAAAGTACAATTATTTTAAAGAATTCAAATTTTAAGTTTTTAAACATCATGTTCTGATATCTATAAAACAAATTTCAATTAAACATCAACGCATACAGCAATAGCAGTTACTTATTTTAATTTGAAAGGAAAGTGTTCACGTCTTAAAAATATTGGTATATTTTATTGCTTTAATTTTAAATGATACATCAGAAATAGTTTTAAAAGAGCACCGTAAATAGGAGAAGAAAAAAAAAATTAACGAATGCTGCATAATTTTATAAAAATTAAAATATGAAACATATATCTATTCAATAATAACTGACATAATTGAAATAAGAATAAAATGCGATTTAAATTGAAAACTTTAGAAGATTCGCCAGACTAAATATAAAATTGAAATGCTATAAAGTTTCATTATGAAAGAATATTTATGATTAAAATTGAGTGGAGGAAATTTGAATTTTCTATTATATCTAGTTAAGTCATTCGAATTTGCAATTTATGTATTTAGGTTATGATTAAATTGAATAAGCCAATGAAAGAATAAACAAAAAAAATAATAACCTTTACATATTTAGTTAATTAAATAAAAGGAAACTAAATTTAATTGTGAAAAGTAATAAATAAAAATGATTTTAATTTTAAATTTAAACCATATTTCCGTAACATTTTGACAATCTAATTTTAGTTGCTTAAAAAAATAATAAAATTAAAAAAAATAAGAAAATAAAAAAATAAGAAAAATTAAACACGTAAAAATTATGAAATTGATTCATTTAAATATGTATGATAACGTATACAAAACCTAAAATTTGCTGCTATACCTCTAATAATTAATCTGTATAATATAATAAAAAAAAGATTTTAGGATTGTTTAAAGTAGATTGTTTAACTTCGTCAAAACTTAATTTTTAAAAATTATTTTTTTAAAAACACTTAAAATAAATTATTCTGCTTAATTTAATTCGTTTTAAATCAAAATCATAGTTCATTTTAAATTAAGATAGACTTAAAATTAATTTCGCTTTTTTTTTTCTCTTCAGGACGTAAAACATTACACGTCATCATATTAAACGCATACAAAAATGATTTGAACATAGATTACGAAGTCCATTCCTTCTCTTTCCCTGTTAAAACAAGTTTTGCGCATGCGTGATTATCTCGATAACGGGTAGAAAATGATTCTTCCTTCTGTTTCATGTTTTGGAAGAAAGAGCTGAAATTTATTATTTCTGGAGAGCTACAAAGCAAGGTTTCATTACCAAATATTCCTTATTTAGTATTGAAATATAAAATGGCGACAGGTGAAAATAAAAACTTTTTATGCACATGGAAAATAGAAAATTATTCTTTTGCTTATCAAAGATGTGGACAGTGCATTCGAAGTCCTTTATTTAAAGTCGGAAATTTAGGGGGAAGTGAATGGACAATTTTACTTTATCCTAGAGGTTATGGTCGATACATGTCCTTCAGTGTTGCATGTGTATTGTATCGATATCAATACAACGAAGGCGATGAAAGTGAAGAGAAAATTACTATCGATTTACGATTCGAGTTGGCGAGCTTAAATGGCAATACGGTGAAAATTTGTGATTTTCAGAATCAAGAAATTCTTAGAGGTGCCAAATCAACAGAGTTTGAGTTAGTCAAAATCGATGAACTCCAAGAGGAAATGGAACTATGGCCTGTAGACACTTTAGTACTCCGCTGCTATTTGATAAAAACTCACGATGTGTTGCCATTTGTTCCAAGAGGAAATCAATATTCCAGTTGCGAAGCCTTTACTGAAATTTGTGTGGATAACTTTAAGCATAATTGGATTATCAGGATTCCGGAATCTTCCGAATGGTCAAGGAGAAAAGAAATAATCTTTCCTGATATGCTCCCAGTTGTGCTCATCTACAAAGTTGTTGGCGATCAAATTTACGTCCAAGTTTGCTCAACAGTTAAGTACAAATACTCACGCTTTATTTCTTGCATCGTAACTTTCTTAGATTCAAAAGGAAGAGAACTTTTAAGTAAAACTNGTGTATACAGCATCTTACGTTTGCAGAACCACCTAAAGAATATGTTTGCAGATTCTAAATTTACTGATGTAAATTTAAAAGCAGATGATGAAGTAATTCCGGCCCACAAGGCACTTCTAGCAGCTAGATCGCCTGTTTTCTGTGCTATGTTTGAGCAAGACATGCTCGAAAGCAAGACCGGTATTGTTGAAATGCCCGACGTGGAACCCATAACTCTGAAATTATTTCTGGAGTACTTATATACTGGAACAGTTAATGAAATGGATGACGAAAATGCTATAAATCTTATGGTTATTTCTGATAAATATGAAGTTCTTTCTCTGAAAGAAATGTGTTCCGGTTACCTGGGATCTGTCATGTCACTTAATAATGTGTGTAATGTGCTATATGTGGCTGACCTGGTGAATGATGCCACCTTAAAATCTGCTGCCACTGATTACATTGTAAGACACTCTCTTAAAATTTTACCTTCACCAGAATGGTCCACATGGGTTGAGAATAATGTAAAACTTGCCACTGAACTGTTTCTTAAATTGTCTCAAAAGCTTAATGTTGAGTCAAAGAGTTTATTTAGTAGATAATTAATAATTGTCCTTTAAAGAACTTTAAAACGTTTGGTGTAATTCTTTTGTGCTGGTTGCTTTGTGATTATTGCTATTAGTATATTTAAAAAAAAAGTCTTCCCGAAAACGTATTATATAATGTAGCGTATAGCAAATACTTATTTACAGATGATCGAACATCGGGAGTTTTGATGAAAAAATAAAAGTTATCACATTTTGATAAATTGTCAAATTAAAAACATCCAAAACTGTTTCTTTGGAGGACTGAGAGGATGAAAAGTTATTTTAAGGAATCCTTTTTATTTTCATAATGCAATTAAATTGGCTTATTTTTTTTATTTAGCCTTTTCCAGTTAAGAAAAAAACTAATGTTTCGATGACTCATATTTCGATATTTACTATATTTTATTGTTGTATTGACTATATTTATTATATTTCCTGAGTATTATTCGCTAATCTGTTTTAATGCTACTTGCTTTTTGTCACCCCCTGTTGTGATTATGGAGGTATTTAAATGAAAGTTAATTTTCAGGATATTTAGTTTACACTGCGCCAAAAACAAGATGAAATAGAAGTACTAAACCGGATCTCTATATTATGTCAAAAAAGGGTGCACAAATACCCTAGCTCGTCATCAAAAACATTAAAAACAGATAACGGGTTAGTTTATGAACTCTAATGTGTAATCTTTTATTCAATTTTTGACTTGCATTCTAATAATGTGTATGTAAATCTCATGATTTCTTTTCATTATTATATTTATTTTCATTCAAAGAACTGAAGAGGAAGAATTAGTTTTATAATATTTTGAGCCTCTACAGAAAATCTGGATAAATTACTAAAAAAAATTAAACCCCAACTGTAAATAATATCTTCAAAACGTTTGTTGTTAAATGTATTTTGCTATTAGTATATTGTGCGTATTTTTTATAACGTTGTTTTTACCTTTCTGTTTAAATATTACCTATAACATTGAAAATAAAGAAATTAAACGTTTCTTTAAAATTCAAATTTTAATAATTGTTTAAAATTTTTAAATTAAATTTCTAAAAGAGAAAGTTGTTACTCGAAGAAAATATTTAATACTTAAAATAACTAAATTTGTTTGATGTGTTTAGTATATAAAATGTTTGAATTTATTTGTTCAGTTCTGATAGAAATTCAAAAGATCTCAACAACCAGACGAGCATTTTTATGAAATTATGATAATTTCAATAATTTATTCATAATATTTATGAGTATATTAGCGATAGACGTTGATGGTTGAAACTCAAAACTTTTAAAATCATTTTAATGTATAGCAACTGTAAAATCTAATTTTAACCATCGAAGTAAAATAAATGAATATGCAATTGATAAATATTAATCTATAGATTTGCAAATATTTCGGTGCAATAGAAAATGCTTTGGATGAGTTCGTTCAATTTCATTTAATTTTAATTTTTTTCTATAAATCCATGGTTTGCCTAACCAAACAAACTTAGCGTATTTCAGAATGTTTCGTTGGAGGATTTTCAGAAATATTTTTTTATTAAATATTCATTCAATATTTAATTCTATTCAATATTTATTTAATATTTAATTTTATTTAATATTTTTTCAACACTTAATATATAATATTTGATATTACTTAAAATCAGTCTACTGTATTTCCCTATCGTATATTATAATTCCATATTGTCGATGACTTTTAAAATCTGGAATACGTGTTCGAATATGGACATAGCTCAAAATACAGGTTTAAGAAAACGGGTGCAGAATGATATGTATATTTAAAAAAAATTTATTTAGGAAAATTAGCATAGAATTTGATTCCATTTTTCAAGTTTTCGTTTATGAGTTAAGAATAAACTAATGAATCCAAATAAATTCGTAACGTGGTATCTCCCATTTGCATAAATTACTTGGTACATTTTATTAAATTATCTTTTGAAAATATTTTAAAATAATTATATCTTTTGAAAATATTATAAAAGTCAACTGTTTCTCTTTCACCAAGGGATATTGTCCTATAAACTTATAATAGTGGTAATAAATTTACGTTGTAGGAATTTAAAACTCACTTTATTGTTTAGAGTTCTGAATATGGAGATACCACCTGAAAAGTTGCACCCGTAATATACATTGACATTCTGTCCCCCGAAAAAAAAAAAGCGCGTAAGTCTTCATTTAATTGCTAAATTTGTGGGGAAAACTGATCAGGCGTATTTTTTTCTTGTGTCCATTTTTGTATAAACACTCCTTTCAAAACTATGTCCATTTTCGAAGATGTGCATTTTGAACTGTGTCCATTTCATAAGCACGATTTTAAACTTTGTCTATTTTCGTGAGCACACATTTTGAGCTGTGTTCATTTTCTGATACGCGTATGAGTTTTGTTTGTTTTCTTAAATACGCATGTAGAGCAGTGACCATTTTCGCAAACACGAATTTCGAGCTGTGTCCAGATCTAAAAACTCATTTACGATGTGATGTCCAAAATGAAACCCTTAACGCATTTTAGTAGGTTCTACTGTAACATATGCAGAAAGACTTTCTTTTATTTAATATGTAATTTTATTTAACACATAATGTTATGTCAATTCTCTTTACGATTTAAAAAAAAATTCCAAATATGTTTTTTGAAACACGAGAATTTAATGAAAATCTTCGTATTATAAATGACCAGTGCGCCAAATAAAATAACTGACTATCCTATTTACTTTTGATCTAATGATCTGATCTTCACGTTTTAGGACTCAATATTAAAGGTTGTAGATGACCTAAAATATGAGAATTACTTAGTACAGAAGATATTTTAAGTAACGAAATCAGACACAAAAAAAACTTAAAATATAGTCTTCAATAATTAATTAACATGTTAGCATGTTTGAGATCACCAAATATGGTGCTCAAAATGTCCCTCGATATTGATTTCTAGTGCACGTAACATCAATCGATGTCTTCTTGAAATGAAACAAATAAAAAATTAGAGGTTAAATTTACGTGTTAATAATAAAAAATTTACATAAGAATAAATCTGTTGAATAAATTTTATCTTGATATTTTCGTTGTTTTTACACATAATTTAAACTTTGATTATTTTAAATAATATAGTATAATTAAAAAAAAAAAACAATTTTTTTTGCACATATTTACTGTAATATTTTAATAAATAATGCTGACGCATTTTTTAAATTTACAGTTTTTAATCAAAATGTATATATGTAAATTTTTTTCTAATGATTCATTTTATTTCTAATAAAACGAACGAAGCAAAGTTCAAAATATTTTTCAATTGAATAAAGGAAAAATTAAACAAAGGAAATGCTATAGCAGTCCGAGCAAAAAAAGAGCGTTAAGAATTTAATAAACCGAATAACAAACTACTTGATTTTTACGTTAAAAATAATATAAATTATTTGAATATTTTATTCACATGATCAAGAAATTGAAAGGGTGGGAAAAGCACATCTGATAAATTATTCTTGTTACGTGGACTGATTTGATAAGAGAGTTTTAATTTCTTTTATTTCTTCTCTTTAAAATAACGTGTTCAAATAAGATATTAACATCTATGTATATATTAATATCTTATTCGCACTCGTTATTTTAAAGTCAAAACAGTATTAGATAAACGTGTGTATGTAAGATATCAACAGATTGTGTATTCTGTTCTGTTAGTTCAGCGCATGCGTTATTACACAAAAAAGAACAATGAATATTCTTAGATAAAAAAATGTTTCTAGTTTAGGAGGAAGTAATCACACTTTAGCTTAATAAAAGCTTCAGAATAGTTGTTGACTTTCAAAATACATACTTCGTATTTGTAATCATAAAATGGCGTCATTTGAAAATAAGGAATTTTTATGCTCATGGAAAATAGAAAATTATTCTTTTGCGTTTCAAAGATATGGCCAATACATTATGAGTCCTTTATTTAGAGTCAACAGTTTAGGTGGAAGTGAATGGTCAATATTTCTTTATCCAAGGGGCTGTTCTGAAACCTCGGTCGACAGTGTTGCATGTAAATTGTATCGCTATAAATATAACAAAGATGATGAAAGTGAAGATAAAATCACAATCGATTTACGATTCGAGTTGTGCAACTCTAATGATATTATTGTGAAAGTTTGTGAAATTCAAAACCAAGAAATTCATAGAGGAGACAAGTCCAAAGATTTAGAGTTAATTAAAATCAGAGAACTACAGGAGGAAATGGAACTTTGGCCTACTGGCACTTTAATACTTAGCTGCTATTTGATAAAAACTCACGATGTGCTGCCATTAATGCCAAACGAATTTTCTTACTCTAGATGTGAAGCTTTGACTGAGTTTTGCTTGGATAATTTCAAACATACTTCGATTATCATTATTCCGAAATCTCGTGAATGGTTAAGCAAAAAGAAAATCATTTTTCCTGATATGTCTTCAGTTGAAATAAACTGCAAAGTTGTGGGCGATGAAATTCGAGTGGAAATATGGTCAAGAATTGAGAAGTTTAAATCTCGGTTTATTTCTTGCATCGTAACTTTCCTAGATTCAAAAGGAGTTCAAATTCTATCAAAAAAATTTGCTTTGCTGATTTCAGATGCAAGTCGAAATCTTGCAGGTATTGTTCATGGGCCCGCAAGGAGTGTTCCCAATAATGATATCAAAATGAATATTGAAATATCCTCAACGAATAATGAGGTTTTCTCTACAATTGAGTACTTCAAAGAAGATTTAGGTGTGATTGACCATAACAAACTACAAAGTACTCAGCTAAGTTCCGAGTCTCATTCAAATGAATGCCAAGCTTCAACATCGAACAGTGTAAGTTTGTTTCGCCTTCAAAGTCATCTAAAGAACATGCTTACAGATTCAAAATTTACTGATGTTGTCTTAAAAGCAGATAACGAAGTAATTCCATCGCACAAGGCATTGCTAGCTGTCAGATCGCCTGTTTTCAGTGCCATGTTTGAGCGAGACATGCTCGAGAGCAAGAATGGTGTGGTTGAAATTCATGATGTGGAATCCAAAACACTCAAATTGTTTCTGGAATACTTGTATTCCGGTACAGTTGACAAACTGGATGTGGA